GTGTGTGTGTGTGTGTGTGTGTGTGTGTGTGTGTGTGTGTGTGTGTGTGTGTGTGTGTGTGCGTGTGTGTGTGTGTGTGTGTGTGTGTGTGTGTGTGTGTGTGTGTGTGTGATTTTGAGGCCCATGCCAACCCAATCTGAGATGGTGCCTAAACGTCTTACGCTAAAAACATCAAATTCGGTTCCTCCAAAGTCACACCCCCCCCCGCCCGGTCCCAGCATGGCCAAACAAAAAAAGCCCGTTCTGAATAAGGTTAGGAATGACTGATGAAGCATGCCATTCACTCTTTTTGTGCAGCTGGTTACGTTTAAACCAAGCTCAACAAAAGAGATACATATTCTAAATGTATTCGAATGAGGGCGGAATTTGTCTTAACTTTTCGGCATTCACGTTGTATTTCTACTCGATAGGGTGATGGTGATCTGCTCTATTCAGCATTTATATTGATATCAATTGATAATGATTATTATGGCAATAATGTAAGAAAGTGATCTCGATCCATTTTCATCTCACTGAAGAGCTAATCTCCCACTGGTCGTGACATAGAAGACGCTATGTACAGTATAGTACAGGTTCATTGTACCAGGGAAATTCCCCTTGCTCTTTTCGACAAGCACAATGAACAATGGACCACAGTTTAACGTCCCGTCCAAGGGACTGCGAACCTTTCCAGTAGCGTGCATGCCGGGTGAGCGACAACAGCCGGAATTTGAACTCCCAAATTCTTGGTCCAGAGGCAGGGTCGCTAAGCACTGGACTACGCGTGCTACTACAAAAACAAGAATACAGAATACAATGTAGTGCTTACCGGCACATTCCATCACGTTGCAGAAGTCCCACCTCAATGTCGGGTCCGTGGTGTAGCACCAGGGCCGGTCCTTGTTGTCAGGGTTACGGCAGAAGTTTTCCTCCAGCCCCGCATCAGGATGAGCCTGTGGTGTGTGGGGATGGATGTGGGGGGTCTGGGAGTCCCATCTCTGACACAGCCGGTCTCCTGCCCTGTACACAGAGTAACACAGTCTGAACATGATCAAGTTAGGATGAGCCTATGGTGTGTGGGGTGACTGTTTGCGGACACTGACACTGCCCTGTACACAGAGTAACTATTAAATCTTTATTTGCATATCAATGAACCCGGACGGGAAGGACACTGTATTGTCAATCTGATACTGTCCTGCACTGTCTTGCCAATTTGATACTGCCCTGCCAATTTGTTACTATTTTGCCAATTTGATACTGTCTTGTCAATCTGATACTGTGCCAATTTGATACTGCCCTGCCAGTTTTATACTGTCTTGCTAATTCGATATCGTCTTGACAATTTGATACTGTCTTGCCAATTTGATACGTTCTTGGTAATTTGATACTGTCCAGCCAATTTCATACTGTCTTGCTAATTTGATACTGTCCTGCCAATTTGATACTTTCTTGGTAATTTGATACTGTCTTGCCAATTTGATACTGTATTGCTAATTTGTTACTGTCCAGCCAATTTGATACTGTCTTGCCAATTCAATGTTTTCCAGCCAATTTGATACTGTCTTGCTAATTTGTTACTGTTCAGCCAATTTGATACCGTCTAGCCAATTTGATACTGTATTGCTAATTTGTTGCTTCCTTGGTAATTTGATACTGTCCTGCCAATTTGATACTGTCTAGCCAATCTAATACAGTATTGCAGCCACCAGAAGATTTCCTAAAAAAGCGTCTAAACTCACCTGTTCACGCGCCCTGCGTAGCTCCTTCCCTTGTCAATTTCGTAGAAGCAGCGTGTTGGTACGGCTGAATGTATAAAATAGACGAGAGAACTATTTAATTTTTTAAATTTATTTTCCGTCATATATGCCCAGGGTTGCCCACTCAGTTATAACACTGCTTTTCAGTGGGACCCTGAGATGTACATACATAAATAGGTAAAATACATTAAGTCGCATACATGCAATGAAATTCAGATACAATAAATAATGATAATGACAATGACCATAGTATGGACAATTCGCCTTCTAGAAGGTAGAATAGCCACTAGGGCATGAGCTTGCAATAAACTTGTTATTATGATATTAGTGTTGGTCGTGTGGCGTAAATGGTAGTGTGTTCGGCTTAGGACCAATAGGTCGGGGGTTCGAATCCTACCATGTCACCTGTCTTGTGCCCTTGGGAAGTGCACTTTACACGACTTTTCTCACTTCATTCAGGTGGTCACGTAGCCTCGGTTAGGGACGTCCCTCGCATAGGTCCCGTGTTTGGGAAGAGGCACACCTTAGAAAGCACGTTAAAGAACCCATTGCACTTACTGAAAAGAGTAGGGGTCCTTCCCAGTAGATAATCAGTGTTCAAACCTTACAGCAGTCCGATCGTACACAGCTTGTTCGTACATGTACAAAACTAAAGGCTGTCGAGCGATTATGCTTAACTAAAAAAAACAAAACAAATACCATCACAGGCAAAGACGTCGTCGCAGTACATCCACCTGATGAGCGGGTTGCTGGTGTAGCACCACGGCCTGTCCTTCCCGTCCGGGTTCCTACAGTAGTTCGCCTCCAGCCATGCTGACGGGTACGCCTCGGGAGTGTGGTTATGGGCGTGGGGGTACTGAGATGTCCAGTGCTGACAGGAGTCGTCTTGGTTTGCACGGCCTCTGTAGCTTGTCCCTTTGTCGCGGAGATAGTAACAGCCTGTAGACATATAACGTTACATCGTAAAGCATTTCAGAGCTCTGACATTCCAGCTGCTGCACGCATGCGAGACCATGCGAGTACATGTATGTACCAGTAGGATGGCGTTGTGGCAGCGACAGAATGTCTAGTGTAGCTTGGCCTGGCCAATTTGATACTGTCTTACCAATTTGATACTGTCTTGCCAATTTGATACTGCCTTGCCAATTTGATACTGTCTTGCCAATTTGATACTCTTGCCAATGTGATACTGTCTTGCCAATTTGATACCGCCTTGTCAATTTGATTCTGTCTTGCCAATTTGACACCCTTCCCAATTTGATACTGACTTGTCAATTAAACACTGTCTTGCCAACTTGATACTGTCTTGCCAATTTGATACTGCCTTGCCAATTTGATACTGCCTTGCCAATTTGATACTGTCGTGCCAATTTCTGTTTTTGCCAATTTTATACTGTCTTCCCAATATGACACCCTTCCCAATGTGATACTGCCTTACTAATGTGTTACTGTCTTGCCAATTGCAATTTGATACTGTCTTGTTTATTTGATGCACCTTTGCCAATTTGATATTGTCTAGTAGCCACCTAAAGGTCTGCCTGGAGATTATGGACTACTCACCACAGTTCTTCTCGTCGGTGTTGTCTCCACAGTCGTATCTCCCGTCACATCGTCCAGCCGGGTGGAACATGGCTCCATTCTCACAGGGAACAGCCACTGGGGGAAAAAGGAAGCATTGTGAGAGGGTTCGGGGTACAAAATGACTAATACCAGCCCAGAAGAGAACAAGAAATAGCCATGCCTTCAAGTACCAGAGTTATCAACCAAGGATTGAGGTGTTCAAGAATTCATTCTTTCCTAGAACTATCACAGAAGAAGTCACTGTCACCAAGTACAGTAGGGGCATTGTCATTAGATAGCTTTAAACAATGCCTAGAGTTAGAAGTTCAAGGGTTAGGTGTAACAAAGTCGATCGGTGTAATATAGCAAGCTGCCGCCGCGCCGCGTGCCTGTGAAGCTGGTGTGTTACGCCGAAAGGCGGTTATACCGGCTATACAGATACAGATACAGGGTGGGAAAACAAAGTCAAAGTCAATTTTCTGTTGCCGGCATACTCACCACAAGACTCGTCGCTTCCATCGCTACAGTCTTCTTCCCCGTCACATGTAGAAGAGACTGGTTTGTTAAGAATTTGCGGGTCTATGCATTCCCCATTGTTGCAGGCTATCTTGTCTCGTCGTTCACCTGCATCAAATACAAGTGGAAACATCATATCTAAACCCCATTGTTGTAGATATGAATGAATTAGTTGATCAATGAATGATTGATTGATTGATTGATTGATTGTTGTACAAACAAGAGGCATTTCACGGCCTCACGACTAAATTGACACTAATGAAGCAAATTAATGGGGATATCGATAGAGTTTGATAAAAATGTTTCAAAGAAAAGTAGAAATAGCATTACGGAAGCAATATTGCCCATTCTTACAGCAGTGCCGCTCGTCTGAGTTGTCTCCACAGTCGTCTGTGCCATCGCACACTCGTGCCTTGTTGATGGTGGCTCCATTGGCACAAATGTCTTCATCTATGTTCAAAAAGGCAAGGTCGGAGAAACAGAGTCAAATCTTTGCACTGTTGTATCAAGAACCGTGCTTTATTCAGAACCATCCTTAATAGTCCACGCGTTTCCAGAACCTAGTCTCCACCAGACTCCTTTGCAGGCTGAATAAATAGTAGAAATCAGCAAAGGGGGAAATCATTGGCCAGAGGAGTTGATCGCCATAGAGGGTCTAGCTTGCTTGCACAGAAAGCTGAACCCTCTATGGCCGGTCAACTGCTCTGGCCAATGATTCCCCCCTTTGCCGATTTCTACTATTTATTCAGCCTGCAAAGGAGACTGGTGAAGACTATCCAGAACCGTGCCTAGGGCAATTCTGCGCTATTGGATACCGGCTGTACAGATACAGAAGCTGGTGTGCTACGCCGAGAGGTGGTTATTCCGGATATACAGATACAAATACAGACATCTTAACCCCCTCCCGCCTTAGTTCCTTACCACAGTTTTGTTCATCGCTGCCATCGTCACAGTCCACTATCCCGTCACACACCACCTCATGCACGTCACAGTCCCCGTCTGAACAGACTGTCTTCTCAAACCCGGAGCATGCTGGACGAACATAATTATCTTTACGTGCAATTCATACCGAAGGGCTAATTGCAAGAACATGATAACAAAAATAAACAGTAAAAATGATAATAAGTAATACTAATGCTACTTAACATTTGTAGTTATTATTGGGTTTGATTTTTTTCCCTTGTGCAGTGGAGTATGAAATAGCCGACATTTGGAAATATATGAATTGGGAGGTGTCAATAGAAGTGCAGTATTTTGTTGGCTGGGAAGGCGAATAAAGCTAGGGAACATTTTGGTGACCATTTCAAATAACCCATCTCTTTCGGTGCTACAATGACAAATAAAGTGCATTTCATCCTCCACTGCATTTCCTGTACAATATGTACATATTCTGTCGTTAACAGACAATTGTTTGTATCTACTCTTTTACAAAATCATCTTGACTTGCAAAGCAATCATGCCTGACGGCTAATTGCTTTTACAGAGTCAAAGATAGTACATTACGATAATAGGAAACAGACTTCTACTATCTGGAAAGACTTCAACGATACTGCTTGCTATTATTAGGTTTGGCGTCTTCTTTGACGCCAGTGGATAATGAATTGACCCACGTTCTGCATAATGACGTGTTTTGTGATCTTATAGAAACGTAGTCGTTTGGTGATCTACGAAATGATGAAAGGATGAAGAAATTGTGGTAACTGTTTGGAATAATCTGTCTCTGTCGGTCTCATAAGAAGATTAAGCTGTGAGAAACATCAAATGTATAAAGCTATTTATTTTAACATTCAATAAAACATAGCTTTATATGTGCATTTTTGCACATGTTAGTACCAAGATTCCATTTTTTTACTCTCACACTAGACATGGCTATATATATACAGCCGTCATGCTTCTGCCATGAAGCCTGAGGACGATTGGTTGACTAGACATGTGATCTCTTAAGGACAAAATCTGTACTGACCTTGGAAAAACTTCACCTCCATGACCTCGAAAGTGTTCGGAACTCCTATACTAGTGAATTGCAGGCGCCAAAGTTGTCCTGTATCGAGAAACCCAGTCAGATCTACTTCATTCAGACGGATTTCATCGGTGTTGAAGATGCCAGAAAGATCTGAAGCTGGGAAATGTTTCACAGTCTCAAACCGGTGCGCACGCGGCATTGCACGTAAGACCGTCACAGCCCGTTCCCGGTAGTACCACATGCGTATTCGGGAGAGTGTTATGGGGGCCTGCATGTCAAACGTCAGTCGCCAGGTGTTCTCGTCAGCCGCACGCCTCCAGCCGGTTCGGAAGTTGAAGTCCAGAACGTAGCCAGCGGCGTGTCGGACGCCGTCTTCGCTCTGCCATTCGTCTGGCGTCACCCATGTAGGATCCGTCTCAGCCCAGCCACCTGCAGGAGGCAGTCCTCCATTAATGACAATGACAACGACAATGACATGTTCCTCCTACCTGTTTATGTATTACAGTAATAGTTACATATTAAATATGTAACTTTAACTGTATAGAGGATGAAGCACACTTTGTCTGAGAATGTGCTTTATACAATGACATCCGGAAATCCTTTATTAGCTCAAACATATTATAACATCCAAGCGCTACGATGTAAACGAAAAACTATGTAAATTTGTTCATACATGTTTCAAAAAGGAGAAGAGATCATTTAATTAGATCCTCTAGATAGAGACGATATGTCATGTTGCAAAGATGTATTTGTTTTCGAGGGAAAAAAGTTAGATGATAGGAGAAGTGGTTCCCCAAACAAGCTTTACGAACAGGCGGAGTATATAGTATCCCTTCAGATTCTTAGTAAGAAACCCTAACTAGAAGTCCACCTTGCCACTAACACTAACCACAAGACCAACCTGCCACCCTTGTTGTTACATATCGTAAACCAAGGAATCTAGTCATCGAAACCTGCCAGGGAATTGTACTTAATTACGATATTGCTGAATTTTGAAAGTGAAACAAAGAGTTCATCTAAATGCAAATCGACTAAGGTAACGTATTCATTGTTAGGCTTACAAATGTGTGGCCAAAGTGACAAGAAAAACAGATTCTGGGAGGCTAGGCAAGGGACATAAAATTCCGACAGACGAGCAAGAAAAAACAACAAATATTTAATGATGTCTATCGGCATTAGATGGCTGTCACGAGACACGTATATAGCTACGTGAGTGGGTCCCACCTTATACCTCAGCCTACGTCAGCCAGGTACAATATAAGGACCACAGGAAGAGTAGCTAACAGAATTGTCAAGCTTATTGAGTAATGTCAATATGGTGTGCATATTTTACAGAAGTAGTTTTTCTCATACGTTTACCAAATGTGTTTGCATCTCGTTTACTGCCTACATAGTTTTCTTATTCATCAAAACATGTAAACATTACAAGGACAGTGAGGCACTGCACTCAACTTTATAACTTATATTAAATTAACAGCGCCACACAACAAGTACAATTAACATTTAAATACACAAAGTTGACATGTGCGCCGAAGTCCCACCACCCCAAGACATTAAAATGGTAATGCTAACAAAGGTATTTGAAAAATAAGATTACGTGGTAACCTCCTATATCTCAAGTGGCGGAAACACATCCGTCAATCAGAGAAAGGTGAAGAATTTTAGGCCCATTAACACGTACGTAGTATTTGGATTTCTATATCTAATTGACTGTTAGAAGCAGTCAAGCAGAGCTAGAAGCGCTCGGTATCTCCAATGTAAGTCTGATTGTCTACATAGTTGTATTGTACTGTACTGTACTGTAAACACGACATACATGTAACTGCATGTGCCTTATACGTAGTCTCCATAGTCTCCACCAAAACTCCTTTGCAGGCTGAACAAATAGTAGAAATTGGCCTAAAAAGAATGTAACTGGCCAGGGGAGTTGGCCATAGAGGGTACAATTTGCCGTGCTATTTATTTATTTATTCAGCCTGCAAAGGAACGACAGCCTGAGACAAGAAAAAGTGACCAGGATAAGTAGTTGCTTACCCGTTAGAGCTAATGCAGCTGGCAGACAGTGACATAGACCCCACAGTAGAACCAAAGTCGTTCTTGTCGGCGACTTGTTACCCATTCTGCCGGAGGACGGCTAGCCAGCACGTTACAGGGCTTCCTCGCACAAAAATGTGTGCCCGACCGAAAGCTTATATTCACTGCCACGATAGACTGAACATGACAGCATCCGTAAAGGCTCGGTACGTTTAAGTACTGCACAGATGGTCTTAGGGGTAAACTACAGCCTGCCCCAGTACGTGAGAGAAGGGTGCACGTCCAACAGTTTGTACAGCCAGGTGGTAGGACCCAGTACCGTATGGCCTCATTTTTGCCACGCACAGTCAAAGAATGGAATGCTCTGCCTCAGACAACGGTGGAAGCCACATCTGTTGACACCTTTGTGTCTAGGGCTTCCAAACTACATCAGTCTTAGGTTGGTGACCTCTCGCCTCCTTCAACTAAAAGTGACAGAATGATCAACTTGATGATAGCGGCCACTTCAACTGGAAGAGGAAGAGGAGTACCGCAAATGTTGCTGATTAACCGTATTTGAGAATATTCGCTGGCAACTGCCACCGAGACTAGACGAGACTGACTGTGGTATTTTCATCTAAAGTTTTATGGTTATCTTTTGGCAGCCACCTGACGCAGACATCATTAAATATTTAGTGTTGTTTTAATATCCTCTGTCAAATATACATCTTTTCCAATGCACAACATATTGACTTGATATAATAACTATTAAGCTTAACATTTCTGTTAGCTACTCTTCCTGTGATCCTTATATTGAACCTGGCTGATGTAGGCTGAGGTATAAGGTGGGACCCACTCACGTAGCTATATGCGTGTCTCGTGACAGCCACCTGGAGAAGACCTCATCAAATATTTGTTGATGTTTTTCTCGCTCGTCTGTCGGCGGAATTCTGTGTTCCTTGCTGTTAAGCCACCCATGCTCTGCTTTACTTGCCATTATAGGACAAAAATTTGTCCAACAAATATTTTTTAACTCTATGACGCTTCAAATACAGCAAAAATCTCAACAATTCCCCCCAATAAGCTGGGGGGGGGGTACGATGTACCAGCAAGAGAATGTAGCAAGTACAGTTTTGATGACGTCCCCGCGCATTCCTCTGGGTTAGTACCCATCTGTCCGTAGTAAAACAGGGTATGCACAAATCCCCAGTACTACTTCATTATTTGTGCCAATGTATGCCCAGTACGTATACACTGGGGTACCAGCTGCATTTCCACCCGTAAAGCCAACCATGGCGACTAGCTTGGTCCTTCTCATATGCCTGCTGTCCATCGGCCATGCTTTCCCTCGCATTCCAGGCACAGACGAAGATGAATGCCCCTCCCCAGCCTTCGCTTGCACAACGACCGATGATTGCATCGGTGTGGCAGATAGGTGTGACGGTGCCGCAGACTGTCCCGACGGCTCGGATGAAGAGTGCACGGCTCCAGATTGTTTGTCGCCCGACGTTTTCGGCTGTGACGTTGCCGGTCGCTGCCTCTCTCTCGCTGTGGTGTGTGACGGTAGTAATGATTGTCCAGACGGTTCAGATGAAGAAAATTGCACCGTGTGTCCCTTGCCGAGCTACTTCAAGTGTGGAAGCGCTGAATGTGTCCTTGAAAACTGGCGATGTGATGGTGATGAGGATTGCTCGGATGGTTCAGATGAGGAAAACTGCACCGCGTGTCCCTTGCCGAACCATTTCAAGTGTGGAAGCGGAGAATGTATCCCCGAAGACTGGCGGTGCGACGGTTTAGAAACCTGTACCGATAACTCAGATGAGGAGTTTTGCACCTTGACTTTGTGTTCTTGGTCCGGCTCTTTCACGTGTGAAAGCGGAGAATGTATCCCCCTACACTGGCGGTGTGACGGTTTGGAAACCTGTACCGATGGCTCAGATGAGGAAAATTGTACCGCGTGTCCCTTGCCAAACTATCCCAAGTGTGGAAGCGGAAAATGTTTTCATCCACGGCACCAATGCGACGGTCAGGAATTTTGTTTCGACGGTTCAGACGAGGCTGATTGCCTGAACAAAGAATGTTACAACCCTGACGACTTGAAGTGTGACAGTGGGCAGTGTATCCGTCCAGAGTGGCAATGCGATGGTATTACAACCTGCCACGACGGTTCAGACGAGGAGGATTGCATCAACAAAGAGTGTTACAACCCTGACGATTCAAGTGTGAGAGTGGAGAATGCATTCGGCCATGGTGGCAATGCGACGGCAGTGTGAATTGCCACGACGGTACAGATGAAAAAGATTGCCTAATGAAAGATTGTTATAACCACGACGATTTTAAGTGTGACAGTGGAGCATGTATCCGTCCAGAGTTGCAATGCGACGGTTCCGAAAACTGCTACGACGGTTCAGACGAAGAAGATTGCCTAAACAAAGAGTGTTACAACTCTGACGATTTCAAGTGTCAGAGTGGACAGTGTATCCGTCCAGAGTTGCAATGTGACGGTATTAAAAACTGCTACGACGGTTCAGATGAAGGGTATTGCCTAAACGAAGAGTGTAACAGCCCCGACGATTTCAAGTGTGACAGTGGAGAATGTGTCCCCTCATATTGGCAATGCAACGGTTATGAAAATTGCGTCGACGGTTCGGATGAAGATGTACGATACTGCATGTTATCAAACGAATGTTACAACCCCAAGATTTCAAGTGTGACAGTGGAGAATGTATCCGTCCAGAGTGGCAATGCGACGATGTTGAAAACTGCCACGACGGTTCAGACGAGAGGGACTGTCTAAACATAGAATGCTACAACCGTGACGATTTAAGGTGTGACAGTGGAGAATGCATTCATCCATGGTGGCAATGCGACGGTATTGAAAACTGCGAAGACGGTTCCGATGAAGCATATTGCATATCATCAAACGCATGTTACAACCCCGACGATTTCAAGTGTAGGAGTGGAGAATGTGTCCCTTCATATTGGCAATGCAACGGCTATGAAAACTGCCAGGACGGTTCAGATGAAGATGATCAAATAATTGCATAATACATTAAACGTAATGTTACAACCCCACCGATTTCAAGTGTGAGAGTGGACAGTGTATCCGTCCAGAGTGGCAATGCGACGGTATTGAAAACTGCCACGACGGTTCAGATGAAGAAGATTGCGTAAACAAAGAATGTTACAACCCAAATGATTTCAAGTGCGAGAGTGGAGAATGTGTCCCCACATATTGGCAATGCAATGGTTTTGAAAACTGCCAGGACGGTTCAGATGAAGAAGATTGCCTAAACAAAGAGTGTTACAACCCTGACGATTTCAAATGTGACAGTGGAGCATGTATACGTCCAGAGTGGCAATGTGATGGTATTGAAAACTGCCGGGACGGTTCAGACGAGGAGGATTGCTGAAACATAGAATGTTACAATCCTGAAGATTTCAAGTGTGAGAGTGGAGAATGCATTCGTCCATGGTTGGTATGCGACGGTTTTTTTGAATGTTTAGATAGTTCAGATGAGGAGAATTGCCCAAACAATAGGTGTTCCTACCCCGATGATTTCAAGTGTGACAGTGGAGAATGTATCCGTCCGAACACGCATTGTGACAGTTATGATAACTGTAGAGACGGTTCAGATGAAGAAAACTGCCGGAGCAAAGTGTGTCCACTTTTCTCCGAGAGGTGTGAAACTTCTGGAGCATGTGTCCCACTGGAGTGGGTGTGTAACGGTTACAACAACTGTCCAGACGGTCAAGATGAGCAAAATTNGTGTCCACTTTTTTCCGAGAGGTGTGAAACTTCTGGAGCATGTGTCCCACAGGAGTGGGTGTGTAACGGGGATAACAACTGTCCAGACGGTCAAGATGAGCAAAATTGCCCGAGACCTTTAGCGTGTACCGAAATGACCGGCTATGGAATCATCGGGTGAGCGTCCAGATTGGCATTGCGACGGTGTCAGTGATTGTCCCGATGGTTTGGATGAGGAAAATTGCATAGTGGATGACTGTGTCTCGCCTGGGTTTTCTGTGGACACGGTTCCTGCATCGACGGCACAAAGCGCTGCGATGGCGTCAGGGACTGTTACGACAAGTCCGATGAGATTGGCTGTGGTAAGCTCACATTTTATTTATTGTAATTACCTACGCGGAAGGAAAACATATCGTTCTTGAAGAAAATCAAACTGTCCTCTAACTCGAAAAGAAATCAACTCACCAGAAATTTGAGTTGGAGAACAGTTTAATTTTGTTCACGTATTTTACCAACTCAGATGAACGTTTATGCTACATATCGTTCTTCTTCCGTTCCAAACAAGTAAAGTCAATGACCTAGACCAGACGTATGTCACCATGGTAACTTGTGCTGTAGCAACACCCTGTGGTGTTGTGTTATTATGCAGCAGGACAGGGTTGGAGAGCCTGCTCAACATGCATGGGTGTATTTGGCTTTGAGTAAGAATAAACAGTACAGCAGTTTTCTGGGCTAAGTGAAGGTGAACAGGGCCAGGTGAAGGTGAAGATTATGCACTTGCTTTGCAAATGCTGTACCTCTCTACATTACGTATTGAAATTTACTTATTTTGAAAAGTTTAATGTAGCAGCGTTTTTAACATGTCAACCCAGAGTCCAGACTACGAATCACTCACAGCAGGAAGGAGCCAACAAGCCTACATATATTTTATAGTCAAGCTGAATCTCTCCTTGATCTCATGCCTAAAATGAGGTACGAAATCATGGATCTCGAGTGGATGGTCCGGCTTTAGCATACTTTTGAACTTCCCAACATAGTAGAGCCACAGCATCCTTATGACATTACTTTATTTTTTTTTACTGCTAAGGGGGTCCACGTCACTTTCACATTCCCAAAATTGTAATGGCTTTGATGGAGTTCTAACCTTTTTTTTACTGTACAGGTAGATACTCGCAATTAATAGATCACCAACTTCGCAGACTTGTTTATATTTATTTTTTATTTTATCAATTTTGTAATGATGCATGTATTTTGTATGTTTTAAGTATTTTGAAAATTTGAAAATGGCTGTTAGTACATCGGGAGTCAATTGTGTCCATTGTGGTACGTTTTCGCATATCGAACCTGATGGCGTGAAACTATATTGTGTACAAGTGCTACCTGTGGTATTTTAATATGTAGTTCTTTGCGTGTCTCGTGACAACCACCTGGTGCACACATCATCAAATATTTGTTGTTTTTTCTTGCTCGTCTATCGGAATTCTGTGTTCCTTCCTCTTTAAGCTTAACAGTGTGTATGTGGATGTTACCTTTATTACAGTCGCTTTATATTTACATCAAAACTTTGGATCGCTTTCAAATACAGCAAAAATTTCAAATACAGCAAAAATCTTTAGTACACTCCCCCGATATTACTAAACCTTGGGCAGCTGAACTCTTTGATTGACAATAAAACTGCAAGACAATGCAGCTTGTACAATTTTGATGACGTCCACGTGCATTCTTTTGGGTTAGTACCCATCTGTTCATAGTAAAACAATGTATGCACAAAGCCCCAATACTACGTCATTATTTGTGCCAGTGTATGCCCAGTACACCGGAGTGCCAGCTACATTTCCACCCGTAAAGACAACCATGGCGACCGGCTTGGTCCTTTTTCTATGCCTGCTGTCCATCGGCCATGCTTTCCCTCGCATTCCAGGCATAGACGAAGATGAATGCCCCTCCCCAGCCTTCGCTTGCAAAACGACCGATGATTGCATCGGTGTGGCAGATAGGTGTGACGGTGCCGCAGACTGTCCCGACAGCTCGGATGAAGAGTGTACGGCTCCAGATTGTTTGTCGCCCGACGTTTTCGGCTGTGGAGTTGAAGGTCGCTGCCTCTCTCTCGCTGTGGTATGTGACGGTAGTAATGATTGTCCAGACGGTTCAGATGAGGAAAATTGCACCGTGTGTCCCTTGCCGAGCTACTTCAAGTGTGCGAGTGGAGAATGTATCCGTCCAGAGTGGATATGCAACAGTATTGAAAGCTGCCACGACGGTTCAGACGAACAAGACTGCGTAAACAAAGAATGTTACAATCCCGGCGATTTTAAGTGTGAGAGTGGAGAATGCATTCATCCATGGTGGCAATGCGATGGCAGTGCGAATTGCCACGACGGTTCAGATGAAAAAGATTGCCTAAACAAAGAATGTTACTACCCTGACGATTTTAAGTGTGACAGTGGACAGTGCATCCGTCCATGGGGGCAATGCAACGGCATAGAAAACTGCTACGACGGTTCAGATGAAGGGGATTGTTTAAACAAGGAATGTAACAGCCCTGACGATTTTCAGTGTGAGAGTGGAGAATGTGTCCCCTCATATTGGCAATGCAATGGCATAGAAAACTGCCACGACGGTTCAGACGAAGAAGATTGTGTAATCGAAGAATGTACCAACCCTGACGATTTCAAATGTGACAGTGGAGCATGTATACGTCCAGAGTGGCAATGCGACGGTATTGAAAACTGCCGGGACGGTTCAGACGAGGAGGATTGCTGAAACATAGAATGTTACAATCCTGAAGATTTCAAGTGTGAGAGTGGAGAATGCATTCGTCCATGGTTGGTATGCGACGGTTTTTTTGAATGTTTAGATAGTTCAGATGAGGAGAATTGCCCAAACAATGAGTGTTCCTACCCCGATGATTTCAAGTGTGACAGTGGAGAATGTATCCGTCCGAACACGCATTGTGACAGTTATAATAACTGTAGAGACGGTTCAGATGAAGAAAACTGCCGGAGCAAAGTGTGTCCACTTTTCTCCGAGAGGTGTGAAACTTCTGGAGCATGTGTCCCACAGGAGTGGGTGTGTAACGGTTACAACAACTGTCCAGACGGTCAAGATGAGCAAAATTGCCCGAGACCTTTAGCGTGTACCGAAATGACCGGCTATGAATCATCGGGTGAGCGTCCAGATTGGCATTGCGACGGTGTCAGTGATTGTCCCGATGGTTTGGATGAGGAAAATTGCATAGTGGATGACTGTGTCTCGCCTGGGTTTTTCTGTGGACACGGTTCCTGCATCGACGGCACAAAGCGCTGCGATGGCGTCAGGGACTGTTACGACAAGTCCGATGAGATTGGCTGTGGTAAGCTCACATTTTATTTATTGTAATTACCTACGCGGAAGGAAAACATATCGTTCTTGAAGAAAATCAAACTGTCCTCTAACTCGAAAAGAAATCAACTCACCAGAAATTTGAGTTGGAGAACAGTTTAATTTTGTTCACGTATTTTACCAACTCAGATGAACGTTTATGCTACATATCGTTCTTCTTCCGTTCCAAACAAGTAAAGTCAATGACCTAGACCAGACGTATGTCACCATGGTAACTTGTGCTGTAGCAACACCCTGTGGTGTTGGGTTATTATGCAGCAGAACAGGGTTGGAGAGCCTGCTCAACATGCATGGGTGTATTTGGCTTTGAGTAAGAATAAACAGTACAGCAGTTTTCTGGGCTAAGTGAAGGTGAACAGGGCCAGGTGAAGGTGAACATTATGCACTTGCTTTGCAAATGCTGTACCTCTCTACATTACGTATTGAAATTTACTTATTTTGAAAAGTTTAATGTAGCAGCGTTTTAACATGTACAACCAGAGTCCAGACTACGAATCACTCACAGCAGGAAGAGCCAACAAGCCTACATATATTTTATAGTCAAGCTGAATCTCTCCTTGATCTCATGCCTAAAATGAGGTACGAAATCATGGATCTCGAGTGGATGGTCCGGCTTTAGCATACTTTTTGAACTTCCCAACATAGTAGAGCCACAGCATCCTAATGACATTACTTTATGTTTTTTTTTACTGCTAAGGGGGTCCACGTCACTTTCACATTCCCAAAATTGTAATGGCTTTGATGGAGTTCTAACCTTTTTTT